AAAAATTACAATAAATAAATAAAAATAAATATGTATTATAATTAAACAAGATAAATATGTATAAAAAAAATATTGAAATTTTTATACTATTTATAAATCATAGATTCTTAAAGCTATAACTCGCTAAAAAAAAAAAATTTTATATATCTACAAAGTTTAATATCATATTTTAAGTTCGTTAATTATTTAAACCTGCGGCCAACTAGTCTAAAAATAGTTAACTACACTCAAACTTTCTTCTTCTTCCAACACTTCACCTGCGACTTTCACTTTTCACTGTTGAAACCAAATTTCTTACAATAGTTGCAACTCGAATGCCGCATGATCTGATTGTGAGCGACGCACGCCCACACAATGGGCAATGGCATAGAATTTCGATTTCCATATCGGGATCTACAATTTCATGGCATTTTGCTGTAGTTTTCGTTTTGATTTGGCATCATGAGATGTCCTGCCGAGGCATCTCCTGCTGCTGCAGATGCCGCTCCTTTGAGCAACCCCACAGTGCGTGTGATCATTTTTTTTGTTTAGTTTAGATTTGCATCCTGGACAGCGAGTCCTGTCTTATGTGTGTGTGTGTGACCGTTGTCCTTTTTACCTGTTCGAACAAACGATGTCTCAGGTATTTTGCATGCATACAAGACAAATGAAAAAACGTCAGGCATATGTCCTTAAAAAAAAGAGGGAAACGTAAAGGTAAAAAAGGAAAGGAAAAAAAGAAGCAGCGCCTTTTTAGTCCAGCTCTTAAGACTGAGGCGTGCAATTTCTCAAATTTTCCCTTAATTTTCCTAGTCATAAAAAAAAATACAACACGGAGCTAGCCACAAAAGCCAAATTTTGTGTAATTACATTTAAGCCGTGGCAAGGATAATGCGCCTTTCCTTTTTTGCCTTTTTAATTGCATGAAAAAACTACCCAAAAAGACAAGTAAGGGTATTGTAGTAGGTAGTGCTCGACTTATTGATACCCTTCGAATCGATTTATTATATTTGTCTATATCGAATGGGGAACATAAATTTAAAGATCAAATCGTGGGGATATATATCGTGAGGGGGATATATGTAGAAAAAGAGATATACTTAGTATTTATGTATTGATAATCGATATCGATACCG